GAGGTAAATGGGTATGACATGTGAAGACTTGAGCGGGATAAATACAATTTTGCATGAACCCGGGGTGCGGGGAGAGAAGAAAAGGACAAAGGATTTAGCATCACGGTATACAAAACGAACGTATACACCGCAACAGCATTCTCATTTTCTGTGTAGTTGTAGTAGTTCCTCCTTCGACACTACTTCATACCCGCACGGAACCCAAAAAAGAACCGCCCATTTTTCACAATCTGAATATTCTCCTTCCGAATTTGTCCTCCCCCACCTCCCCCCGCCAATCTATCCGGGTATCATATCTTTTTTCCATGGCAATTGGCCGTCTCAATTTTTGTTTCTCCTTCTCCAGGCGTTAAAATCCCCCATCCGAAAAAGAAACAAACAAACCAATTTGGTAAAATAAAAGAAGGAGAAGAAGAAGAACCGAGATAAGGAACCGAAAAAAACCAAGAAAAAGGTCTAAAACACAGAATAAAACTCCAGACCCTTTTCATGCCATGAGATGTTGATTTTGATGAGAGAAGAAAAACAAGAACGGGTGTTTGATAGGAGAGAAAAGAAAAAGGAAAAAAAGTCCAAAACGTGAAACCAGTACAGCACCCACCCCAAGCTTCCTTGTGTAGTAATTGAAACAAGAAAAAAAAATCTAAGCAGCAGGGATCCTAGACCGGTCACCACCCTTTGCAATCCATTCATCTTTGATAATCTTATCCTGCTCCATATGCATGAGTTTGTACGCAGTACGAATGGTGCCGTCGCTGACTTCGACGGCGAGACCGATTTCCTTTGGTGATTTGGGCTGGCCCATGAGATGTGAGACCAGGTAGAGACAGGCACCAGCGATAGACAGAGGGGATCGACCGGCTGCAACACCGTAGTGAGCGACCTGGTCGGCACACTCTTCGGCCACCATCTGGACCTGGGTGCCTAGAGCTAGTTTGGCACAGGCACGAGGCATGAGGCTGGCGGCGCTGGTGGCAGTGGTGCCGCCCTTTTGGTTGAGGAGGTTGACTGTGTCGATGACAGCTCCGTTTCCGGCGACTGATGGACCGCTGTTCTGTGATTTCTGGATAAAGGCTTCGAGGACCTTGAAGGTACGGCCGACTTCCTTCTTGGACACGTTGGTCATTTTGAAGATTTCACGGAAACTACGCTGCTGGTCGTGCTTTCGGCATGCGATGAAGATGCAGCCGGCAATGATAGCGTCCTGTGATTTGCCCTTGAACAGCTTCGCATCGTCCGTCATCTTGTAGAGCATCTTGGCCGTTTCGGCCGTCGGTCTGCTAATGTTTTGACTGTCACAGAGCGCTGTGATCTGACCGTAGGCAGCCTGCAGCGCCTTGTTGACTTTGTCATGGTTGCTCTTGTTGTGAGCCCTGGAAAGATCGCGAACCCTCATACCACCGTCACCGAAACCGATCTCAGTCTGAAGCTGGGAGCCGTGCAGAAGGGGGTTGGCAGCGTCACCGATACGTGATGGATCATCGTTGCCCTGGTCTAAAGCAAGATACAATGTTAGCATGCGCCTCACTGATGCAAGTAGGAGGGCGCCACTTGCCGTCGTTGGAGAAGGTTCTCCATTCCGAGCGGGTGTCGATGATTCTGTCGGCGAGGACGCGACCACAGGAGCCGCAAATGGTATCGCCAGCACTGAACTCCTCTACCAGATTGGGAGGGTTCTCTTTGCAGTCGGGGCAGATCAAAGCAACGTTCAGGTCCTCTTGCCACTCGTCGTCCTTTACCTGCACGGGCGCGGCTTCGTATACCTCACCAGGCGATAGGAGGCGGCCGTCGGGTGCGTAAGACATGTTTCTTTCTTTCTTCACGAAGTTCTAGGCTTGTATTGTGGATTCTAGCTACGGGCTCGCGAGACCGACACTTGGAGACTGCTCTTGGGCAAGGGACGCAGGAAACGAGTGTGGTTGCAGAGGGCTGGGGGAACGAAGGTCGGAGAACGGCAATGGAAACCTTATGTCTCGAGCGCGCAGCCCGTTGCCCACGAGGCTTGGCGCTCCGCCCGCGCTAGGCCGTCTTGGGCGGCAGGTCAAGCTGCGGTCCACGGTTTTTCCCCAACATCGACCTTCACCTTGTAGCTTCCAATTGCCAGCTCCCCACCCCCGACATATCAACAATGATTGCGCAATCCATCAGGGCCTCGGTAGGCTTCTCTTGCTGGTGAGAATTGGATGTGTACTGATCCGCTGCAGCGCCAGGCGCTCGTCCGCGTCGCCCGGCAACAACCTGCCTACGTCGCTCGCCGCACCTTCATCACCCCCACCGCCGTCCGATCAGGTGATTCATCCTAGCCGCTCGAAATCCGACAATAACTGACCCAATTGGTGTTGTAGCCGACCTGGTGCAGGACATGTACCTTCGCGAGCTTAAGAACTACAAGGTCCCGCAAGTCAAGGCCTCTGACGCCGAGGGCCAGGTCAAGAAGTTCGCCATCCCCAAGGCCCCCGCATCTCCCGAGGAGACGGACATTGCGAGCGAGCTCAAGGCATACGAGACACAGACTGTTGAGGTTGAGGGCGCTTCATCCGAGGACGGCGAGGTCCTGCCCCAGGAGGACTGGTTTGAGGAGGAGGATGAGAGCATCACCACCGCCGGTGCTACCCACTAGACGCAGAAGACTGCTGGGTTGAAGGACTAGATGTATCAAAATACTAGCGACTGTGTCAATACCACTTGGGCAACAAAGTGCCGAGCCATTGGGTGCATTGTCTGGGAGCATGTATATCACGTGACGAGATATGCGAGTGACGACTAGTGGATTGCTTATGTGATAGGGCCTATGTGGATTGATTGTTTGATTGAGTGAACAGAGTAGATTGGTGGAGGGATCAAGGGTAAGTAACAGGACATGGATGGGGGTTGCACGGGGGGGGGATTCGAGCATATTGGCTGTATGTAAGTACGTGTACGTGCACATTGTCGGGGGCCGAATGTGAGTTTGAGCCATTCAGCAGCCATGGTTGTGGGCGGTCAATGGCGGCCATTGATCTACACGCTCATCACTCTTATGATGTAAATATCCCGCAACAATGTCAGCACAGACTGGCATGGAGGCCGCCTCTTTGGTTGTTGAAGGCAGTACTTTTTGTGAGTGCCATTGTGTATGACGAAGGCTATGGCGAGAGAAGCAAGTTTGTTGGATGCGTGGCATGCAGGACGCGGAGAGGGTGGCGGAGCGTGAGTTTCGGCATGGGGGACAGGAGTTGCCAAGAGTGAATTGCTTTTGGGAGCGTCGGATTGGGGAGGGACCATGTCAGTCAGCAAAGACGCACGTTCGGCAGCATGGTGACAGTAGTAAGTATGCTAGCGGTGGTGGATTGCTGTTTTGATCAACATGCGCGTACGACACGTATGTATGTATATTTTACGACTGACTCGACGCAGGCTGTTCCGCGCCGTGCAGCATAGGCCGATTGATCTGCTGCATTACATGTGCATGTCCCAAGGAAATTGAGCAAACCACGGCCCCTCAGATAAGCCACGGGATGCAGTGCCGACTGTCTTGCAGGCAGCAATTCCCGATATTGGCGGCTAGTGTGGTCGGAAAGTCGGAGGAACAGGGCGAAAGCGTGGGCCTGAGGGCGGAAATGTTGAATGCAGCAGCGGATGGGCTCTGCCGCATGTGTACACTTACGGCTTTGGCATGCATGGTGCACGACTAGTGGATGTCCATAGTATGGATCAAGGCGGACGCAGACGGATGGTCAGTTGAGGGGTTTACCCTGGATTGCAGCCAGCCAGCCGTATCCGTATCCATGTCCATGTGCGCCATTGGCAGCAGCAGCAGTGGTAGGCGAAGCAGACACGCGCAGGCGAGGAGGACACAGACAGGACAGGCGACGCCCAGGGCTGACGCAACGATGTCTTCACGCTGAAACCGGGCGATAAGCACGCGGGGGCCACCAGCAGCGTGTCAGGTCTGAGCAGTGGGCAAGGAGATTGCGGTCAAGGCCGCTGCAGAGATTGCAGTGTTCACAGTTCACGTCGCGAAAAAACAAGATGGTTCGGCGGGCCCACTGGGGCCTAGCGAGCAGCAGCAGTAGCAGTCGCAGCGAGCAGTAGGGGCCTGTTAGGGGGCGGGTGCACTGGCAGAGTATTATTGATAATAATATGTGCAGTCAGTAATACCAAGTAGTACATGCCTCGATCCATAGCCAACACGGCCCATGGCTATAATGCGCTGGACATGCGAGGCGGCAATGGCGTCGACGATGCGATGCGACACAGCCAGCGGCCAAGCCGGCCATGGGGATTGCAAAGGCGCGAGAGCGAGCACGTCAAGCAAACGGCGCAGGCACAGGCACAGGGCGCATCAGTAGACGAATGGCAGATGACACGACTGCGACGAATTGCGCCCGTTTTTAATATAGAACCATCGCTCCGACGCGATCTGCCCTGCATCCCTGCTAGCCCGCCAGTGGGCCTGCACCCGCGCGCCCACACCATCGAGGCAATAGAGCAGCACCACCACCACCATTCGCTGCAAATACTAGCTCAATCAACCTGCTGGCCCCCCCCGTAGCCGTCCTATCTATGTACTAGTGCCGCCAGTAGCATTCCCAGCTCGGACCAGAATCTCAAACCTGAATCTTCTGCCAGTCCAGTCGCTACTGAACGCTCGCCGAATTATTGAACACTCGCTGAACTGCCTTTCTGTTTCTCTACTCTCACCCTCCCTGTTGCTTTGCTGCTGCACATCCCCGCTGCACCCCTCCTCCCCCCTCCAATAAGCCTCTGCCTGTTTCCTCCTCCCCGGCGCCCCCCCAGCATCGACTGTGACGTCGCTCCCGCAACCACTGTCGCTACTCTATTGGAGCCCGTCTAACGGCCTTGTCAACGGCCCGCCTAATACCAGCTTGACACCACCACGCCGCTTCCCGTCCGATTACTCCGCCATGAGCCCGTAGCCTGTCCGAGACGCGTACCCAACTTGCATTGAAGAAGGGCTGTCTAGCCACTGCTTCGCTGCGCCCGCTCCCTAATCCGCCATGCCCATCGCCGTCGCGCAGGCTCCTCGCAGCCACTACTCCCTCACCAATGCCCTCCGCGGCAGGAACAGGGCCACTTCCGACGCCGTCCTCCAGCTGCCCCAAGAACCCGAGCGCGCCCAACTGCCAAAGGCTGCCTCGTACACATACTTTCCTCAGGTGAAGGATCTCGACAAGGGTTCGCCTGTTGCTGAGCGAAGGGGAGCCTCCGAAGATGATGCCGATCGCTCCAGGAGCGAGGAGAGGACCTCCGAGAGCCACTCAGATGGGTCTAGTCCCTCGTCAGAGGATGCTCCAGAGCTGCCTGACGTGCAGATGCCTCAGCTAAGACCGACGCCAACGACCCGCCGCTCCTCAAGGTTTCTGCCCTTCTCCACTAGGAGCCGAGATCCCTCCGCAGAACCAAAGCCAGAACGCGGCCGACCAGAGGCTGTCAAGCAGGCAGACTCGCCTTCTCCTTCGCCCTCGCGCTCTTTGACAAACCTGCGCAGGAAGTCGTGGGTCATTGGCCCGCAACAGTCGCGAGAATCGACGTCACCATCCAAGGATAAGAAACTCCGGAAAAAGGAACCTAGTCCAAAAAAGACACCACCAGCCGTCGAGCCAGCCAAGCAGAAGACGCAGACGACAACTGAAAGTATCCCAGAAGAGTCCGAGGCAAGAGACACTGTACAGGCGGAAATCCCAACTCCTTTGAGCAAGAAGAACAAGCGCCTCAGTGGCCTCTTCACCGCAACTGCCAATGCCTCCAACTCGCCCTCGGTGCCCAAGTCATTCTCAACTGAACAGCTCCCGCATTATCCTCAGCATCAAACGCCAGTCAGCCCCACCCACGTCGTTCCTCCGCTACCACGCGACATCTCTGCCGAAAAGCTAAAAGGCATCAAGATTGAACCCCGCAAAAAGGATGAATTGTGGAACGCATTTAGATCCCTCGATGCCGATCTGCGCAAGTATGGCTCCTTTGCTCTAACAACATAAACTCAAACTAACAATACATAGGTTCCAATCCAAATCCAGTTCCCTCAAAGCAAACGTGGTTCGCACTTCCCTCCTTCCTTTTCTCCGCCAACACGCCCATCGCCCTGTAGACCAGAAGCTCAGGCCTGAAGATCTCGACCGCCGTGTAAATATCCTCAATGGCTGGTGGACTGGTCTCTTGGAGCTCGTGGCAGGCCGGAACAACCAGTCCATCTCTGGCACAGACCGTCCAGTTATCCTCGAAGGCATCGCTGCAATCATGGAGAGGCCCGAATGGAGACTTTACCCCTCGCCCTTTTGTGCTCTTGCAGACCGCGAAGAACCATTGTCTGCATCTACAACTAGTTCGGGTGCCTCCACCACCAGCTCGGCCGATTTCCTTGCAGAATCTGTTCACCACAATGTGCGCAACATCTTCACGCAAAACTTGCAGTCCCAGATGGCTTTTGTCGTAGAGAAAATGTCCTTGCGAAATGCTGCTGCAAGTCTGGTCACGTTCTGTGGAAAAACATGTGCATATGCTTTCTGCTTCTGCCCTGGAGTTGCCGATGTTTTGGTGCGTCTATGGAGCCCATCTCTCGAAATGATGAAACGGGTAATGGAAGAGTCTGGTGTGTCAAAGATGGATCGCTTGGATTCCGTATCCGACCGAGTTGCAGCATCGTTCCCACCTATGCTGCTCCCGCTCAAGCTACTGTCCCTGAACCGACTTATGCGTCAATTACGCAAGCCCATTTTACCCCCGCTTGCCATGGCCAACATCGACTGGTACGGACTTTGGACAAAGCGCTGGTCTGGCGCCGAGAGCGACCTTTTTTACGTTTTTGTCAAGCACTTCCACATTCTGGTCAGCGATTTCCTGCCCCTTGAGCCTACCAATGCAGAGCGCATCTGTGTTCCTGGATTGATTATGGTGCACGCCCAGCTTTTGGTTAATTTGGATGCAACCATCAACAGGAATGCTGTACCGCAGCAGCAGCAGCCACCGGAAGATACATCGGCAATTACCTTTGACGATGTCCTGGAACCTGATGCTTCTGCCTCGAATCTCGCTCTTCCGCCAGCAAACGCCACCCGCATGATGCAGGAAAACCGAATCATAATGTTAATACGCGATTTCCTTTCCGAACGAAATGCTCATTTTCACATTGCCAGGAAGATGTTTGCCGAGAGTTTTGCTCGTCTTCTGCAGGCACAAGCACGCAAGATTTCAATTTACAACAACAGTGCCTGTTATACCCTCTGCGACTTTCTTGAAGAGGCTCTTGTCATCCTCGTTCGCTACGAGCAACACGACAGCGACCACCATGCTATCATGGACTGGCCTTTCTGGCTGACTGTGTTCAAAGCCATGGCTGCTAGTCACAACACCGCTACCGAGATTAGGCTGTACGCCTTCCTCTACAGCAGTTGGGCAACTCTGACCTCGGACGACCAACGAAAGGAAGGGCTTTGCCTCGAGTTCCTTCTGGAACCTGAATTTTTCGAAAGCCGTTTCAACCATTGGTGCCCTATGGTGCGTGCCTACTTTATGCGGCTGATCTGCTGGCGAGTGGCTCGATTCGATGGCATTGACACCGAAATCGAAGTGTAAGTACAAAGCGACTCCTGCATCATTACACTGTATGCTGACATATCTGCAGAGCGATCAAGCGCGCTTTGAGTGACCGCCTCCGGTCAATCTGGTCTCACTACCTTTGGCTTCAAGAAGAGGCTGAACGTAAACAGACTATCTTCCCATCGACACAGGCTTGCAACCCTGCACCAGGCCGACGCTTTCTCATCATACGTAATGATAATCCTATTGTGACCAATAGTGGTCCTTTTCTCACATTCGACGGTGTGGTCCAAAACCCTCATCAACGAAAGCCCTCTCTTCCAGCTCCCTTGATTTCGGAAGCTGAGCTTCGGCCAACACCTCCTCCACCAACGGAATCGCCCGATCTTCCAGAGGAGGATTCAGGCAAAGGCAGATGGAACATTTTGCGTAGTCTCATGGGAGGAAGTTCGAAGCAGAATGCTAAATCAAAGAGCCCTGGACCCGCTAAAGACAGGGAAAACGCTAGTAAGACCACGGCCAACGAAGCATCCTCTACTCCTCCGGCTGCCGAAACACCGGCACCCGCCCCAGCGCCGGTTACCCATCGGTCATATCATTTCCGCTTCTCTCTGGAATGGGTTGACAAGCGCTTTGGCGCATACCAACCTATGCGCCTCCAGCCTCCACGACTCCCACTTCCAGCACAGAGCCTCTTGACGCAGAAGGGCATCAACCTCGAACCTGTCCTTAGCACACCGCCCACTGGCGCTGCTGTGACGTCGAGTACCTATGCCGGACGTGCGCTTGCTGAATGGACCTTCATCAGCCATGAGTGCCAGAATTTCTTTGATAGGAGGAAGAATGAAGGCGTGCCGACGAACAGACAAGTTGAGACGCCCACGTTGAACGTGGAGGCTTTCCGACGACCCGGCTAAGATGTACCTGGAGACTCCCAAAGGCAAACGCCTTTGACTCAACAAACTCGTACATATGTATTTCCACGACATGCACAAGTTTTTCATGGACATTGTCGACAGGCTTGACAATGCTCCCACACACATCACTTTTTCCCCACATTTTGGCGATTGCATACGGACGCTCAGCGCGAGCCATCCTTCAGCGGCATTCTTTTTTTTTATACAAACACTGAGCAAAGTTTTTGTTCCTTCATTGTCTGCTTATCTTGTTTTGTTTAGACATTTGGCATGCATGGCAGCGCGCACTTTCTTGCATGGCCTCGACATCATTCTTCATTATCAATCATCTTTTCTCTCCTTTTGGTCTGGGAGAAGTCGGAAAGCAAGGACTTGGTTTCTTTCAAAAACATATACAGTATGCAAATTTTGTTGCTAGGGCGCGAGATATAAGCCCGTTTCTTTATGAGCGAAAATATAGAGTTATGAATCTGAATTATTTTCTTAGTTTTTTTCCTTAGCATACGAGGCAAAATGAGTTTTTTTTTGGGGTGCTTAATGTTTGATGTTGTGCTCATGGGGATAAGCTTAATTTTGAACGTCTTACATATTTTTCGATCTATTACAATCAGCCTGTATACGTTTATGTATTAGTGGACGTATCCATGTATATGAGATTCGATGTTGGGTAATAAAGTAATACAGTAATCTTCTCCTAAGCTACACTCTCTTAATACTGAGCGGCCAGGATGTACATGGACAGTGAACAGGATAACTAAGGAGTATCGATATACAACTACTCCACCACCACTGCCTTGGCTCGGCACTGTCAACATTATCTTGGCGTTGGTTGTTTATCAGACGCATCCGTCTTACTAAACAGGCAAGAGCAGTAAGAACCAGTCACCAAGCATGGAGCAAACGCTCGCCAGCCTCGACCTCCAAAATCCGACGACAGGCTTCGCCCTCATTGGTCACTGGTCGTTTGCAAGGCACAGGTCTAGTCCTTTGCTCATTTCACCGTGGCAATGTTTACTGTCGTCTGCCCCGCCAGCTTTCTCTCACCTCATCACACTACGCTCCTTCAACTTCGTGATTGATACTGCAGTCTTTACTGTCACCAATTGTTCTTTCTCACACCGTATCAAAGACCAACTTAGCTACAAACATGCACGCCATGCGCGCCATTGCCTTCTTCGCAGTTTCCGGTAGGTACCCCCCGAGCTTGTTTATACTTAGAAAGTGTTCCTGCGGCGTCTCTCAAAAGACTGACACACAGATATCAGTTGCTGCTTTCCAGACTGGCCTGGAGGGTCACCTTGTGGAGCCCGCCCCGTTTGGAGCAGTGGCTGCTCGTGACGAGAGCTGTAGCAAGTTGCCTAAGCTCTGCACAGATACGGTGCTGCTCCACGGTGGCCAGACGACTCTCACCTATCTGTGTCCCGAGACCCAGGGTCCAACTGCCACTATCACTATCACCTCAACTACTACTCGTACCATCACTGGCAGCGCCACCCATGGGTCATCTTCTGGTCAGGCTGGGGTTTCTGTCTCTGCCTGCGGTGAACTTACCACGACCACGGCAATCCAGTCAACGACGCAAGTCACCGTTACAGAGAAGGTCATCGGGGCTAGCACCGCTACCACACCTTCAATCCTCCCGCCACCGGCTACCATCACTGCTACTTTTACAGCAATCCCGCTCTCCGAGCTACGACCGCCATTCCCCATCAAGCCAACGTGGTCTGAGTTCAAGAATGTGTCTACCACAAGTTATCCAACAGCTACTGGGGCGAGGGCACCCCCGGTCTTCAACTTGACCTCCCAAGTCGTCAACTTCACTTCTTTTGACTTGGTCCCCACCCACGCACCCACTAACTTGTCTTCGACTGTCTACGTTCCCTCGATTACACTTGCTGTTTCGGTCGCCTACTATCCAAACTCACCCACTAACAGCACCTCGTCTGGAATTGGGTATAACTTCCCCAGCTTGAATGTCATCAGGCAGGTCGAGTCTACTACGACTGTCACCACCACTGTCTCTGGCATCACGACTGAGACAGGCATGGCTGATGAGAATGGCGTATATTATGTCATGACGACTAGCACAGGTATGGCTGGCGAGAATGGTGTCTCTTTCGTTGCGCTATTCCTCAGTATGATGGTCACTGCCTTCATGTTCTGAGCAGCATAGAATGCTTGTCATCCCCGGCAACTTGGTAGCCAAACCTTTGCTCCGGGCAAGGTCGAGAACAGATGTAACGGGCTCAGGACTGATTGTATCATGGCGTTATGGATATCACGGGTTGTAACATAATACAGCCCTATGAGAGATTCTGTAGGAATCAAAATGGACACTGAAAGTATGCACAGAAGTCCCAGGCGCCCATCATAGATCCAAGCGTAGAGCTTCGTGTGATTATGCTTGTTGTTCCCAGCAGCCATACTTTCACATCAAGTAATTTGTCCCATGAACAAAATTGCGCTGGTTAATTGATGTAAAAAGATTGGTATTGACAAACTACGAGGTCTGGGAGGTAAAGCTGGATGTGGTACGAATCACCCCGCGCATTGTAGTTGCGTGGTCATAGCTTCGTAGCAAGGGTTGTGGAACCGAAGTTGCGGACTCGCGATCCAATCACGGGACAAGCGCGCCGCAACCACGGCGAACACCAAAGCCGTTCTCTCACGCGGCTTCACGACTGTTCACTAACATAATAGAACAAAGCACCCCGCAATCCGATTGTGCTCTTCGGCTGACGTTTGTCACCAATCGCCGACATTGCCTTCAAGCAGCATCATCTTCTGCTACGAGACCACGCCCATCGACCAAGTCTACAGTCGCTATCACCTCTCACATACCGCCTTTTGAGAGCGTAGCGCGGCGTTCTGTTACTACAGTTTAGCCCAATAGCGCGTCTTACTTCTACGAGAAACGCCATTGCGATTTCGCAATCCTTCTCGGCGGATAAACACCGAGTTGCGTAACCTCGAGTTTTGTTTGTGATTGCCACAGGTTTGTATTAAAAGTCTTGATCAAGCACAAGCAGCGTCTCAGGCAAGATGGCTGTTAAAAAGTCAGGCAGGGCCCAGGCGAGGGAAGAGGGTAAAGCGCCTTTATACTTCGAATCGACATGACGGCTAACAGATCATAGGGCTGGAGCGGACAGACAACAACATGGATCTCACGACGTGGCCGCAAGTTGGTATGATCAACCAAAAAAACTACTATACCGAGTTCTTGAAAAGAGACGAGCAGTTTCTCGCCGTGCGATACCCGAAAGATGAGGAGAGAGCCCGTATAGTCCAGGAAGCGCGGGACAAGGATCGCGCACGCGCACTGGGTGTGCCAGCAGCAGAAGGAGCAACACCACAAGCTGCAGACGAGACAATGGAAGACGCCGAGGCCTCATTTGCATCGAGGACTGACATCTCGAAGCTCATTGTAATACACCCTGGTAGTCAGAACCTGAGGATAGGACTTGGATCAGATGCGTTGCCCAAGACAGTGCCCATGGTCATTGCGCGGAAATGGAAGGAGAGCGAGGACGAGGAGGATGATGGAGAACCCTGTCCTAAGAGGATCAAGGTCGATGCATCTGAATCCACGGAGTCGCAACCAGAGAAGTGGTTCGGTGAAGACGTAAGTTACCCGACAGGTCCTGGTCTACATTTACTAATATGCAATACAGTTCGCCGATCAGTATATGACCATGTCGACTGAACTCAGGACACGCATGCGCGCCAACAAGCGACGAGTACTTCCCAATTCCAAGGACCTAGTCCAAAACTACAACAAAAAGTCTCCCCCAGATATCATCTCAGAGCACAACGACATCAACCGCATTGAGTGGACAGAGATACCAGCAGACCCAAGCAAGGCGCCGGATTTCTTCACTGGAAACGAGGCGCTACGAATTCCAGAGAAGTCGAACCCAAGGTACAAGCTGTTCTGGCCGATACGGAATGGCACGTTCAACGAGAAAGACTACCGCGATCGCAATCAAATTTACCACGACATTTCCAAGATATTCGAAGAAGCCTTCCGGAGCCAACTGGGCATTACAAAGCTGAAGGACCTTGTTAACTACAAGTGTGTGTTCATTATCCCAGATCTCTACGAACGACAATATGTAACCATGATTCTCGATATCCTGATGCGAGACCTTGGCCTCGGAAAGGTCTGCCTGCAGCAAGAGTCTCTCTCGGCCACATTTGGTGCGGGCTATGGTGTCGCGTGTGTTGTTGACATCGGTGCTCAGAAGACATCGATCTGCTGTGTCGACGAAGGGCTGTGTGCCGAAGAGTCGCGCGTCAACCTAAAAATGGGCGGAGCCGACGTGACGGAGACATTCATCAAGATGATGCTGTACGGGCACTTTCCATATGCAGACATGAATCTGAAGCGGAGATACGACTGGCTGCTTGCTGAAGAGCTAAAGCAGAAGTTCTGTTCCATGGACGAAGGTGCGGTCACGGTGCAGACGTGGGACTTTCATCTCCGAGCTTGGAACCAGGACACACGCAAGTATACCTTCAAGACGTACGATGAGACTATGCTCTCGGTAATGGTAAGTAATATATGTATCACAGGTGCGGTACGTTTGCTGACATGCATAGGGCTTCTTCAAACCATCAATATTCGATAACTCTCGGAAACTGGAGAACCGAAGAAAAGTGGTGCCTCGCTCGGTCGACCTGTATGATGGGTCGCCCAACGACCCCATGTCCCAGGCCCAAATTGCCGTCATCGAAGCCGCAGCAGGCAAACCCGTGGTGCCAATCAGCAACGGCGTGCCGGAAGTAGTAAACACCACCGCGCCGGTATCTACACCGCAACGCCCACAAGCCAACGCTCTAAGTCTGCTCAACCGGCTAAACGAAGGCGAAAACACGCCGCGATCTTCCGTGGCAGGCTCTCCTGGCCCCGAAGGCGCCAACACACCCAATCCCGACCGTGACACGCCCATGGGCGACGGCGACGGTCCCCCGTTACTCGTCCGCGACCCGATTGACGAAAAGACCAAAGTAGCCGAAGCTCGCGATGCCATCCTCCCCATCCAAGCCCTCGACCACGCCATCCTCGAGTCGCTCGCGCACGGCGCCCGGGGCGACGACCGCAAGCTCCGCGACTTCTTTGGTGGCATCATGCTTGTGGGCGGCGCGTCAAAGACACCTGGCCTCCGCGAGTTTCTGGAAATGCGGCTCCGTGAGCTGCGGCCGGGGTATGGCAAGGAAATTCTTGTGGGGCCGCCGCCGCGCGATTTTGATCCGCAGGTTGTGGTGTGGAAGGGGGGAAGTGTGTTTGGGCGGTTGAGTAGTCATGGGAATGACGGGTGGATTAGTCGGTATGAGTATGATATGCTTGGGGCGAGGCTGTTGAATACGAAGTGTATGTTTGCGTGGTGATGGAGGAGGTGGAGTTGTCAAGGGATGGGATTCATTTTTAAGTAGGGCAAGGGGGAAGATGGGATCATTATTGAGCTTTTTTTTTGGAGGAGGGTTACATGGGAATGCGTATACGAGTGTCTACTTATATGGTGTTTGTTTTTCTTTGTTCGTCGGAGAATACATGGCCAAGTGTATAGAAAAACACAACGTTCTCAAACCAAACCCTTTTTTTTTGTTTCTACTGGAATAAATAGGTATGCTTTGAATTCTCTTACAAAACAAGCCCCCATCCTTTACCTCACCCTTTTTCTCAAAAAAGCCAAAAGCCAAAAGCCAAAAGCAATAAATTCTCATAGTAATCCATTTTACTTAATTTAGCTCTCAGTCTACAAACACACAGACACACAGACACATAATGACGTGATTCTGTTGAATCATGTGTGTGTGTGTGTGTGTGTGGGGTGGAAAAATAAGACTCCGTACGTTCGTCTTCCCTTCCTTCCCTTTTTTTTTCCTGGCAAGGGGAAATATGAGAGGAAATTACCATTGTTGTGACTTATAGTTTAAAGATAAAGTAATGCATATTCTGGACCAAGGGGTGGGGGGAGAGAGAGAGAGAAGAGAGAGAGACCGACCCCCACACACTGTTGACATTGTCAGCGAAACTTTTTGACTGTATCGGAAGATTGTGAAAAGGTGAATCAAAGCTCTCGTATTTTTTTTTGGGGGGGGGGGGGGATGGAAAGACATCAGATCATTTTTCACGAGTGAGTTATTTTTTTGGGAGGTTTCCCTTAGGGTACCTTGCGAGAATGAACAATGAGTAGATCAAAGGGTTTCTCTTTTGGTATTTTTTCCGATATGAGGCTAAAATTTGGGGAGGGGGCTGTTTTCTAGAAGGGATGTGTTTGTGTGTGTGTGTATGAGGGATTGTCGGTGTAAGTACGTATTGAGACATCGCGGTATGTTTACACCTGACTAGCGCGGATCCAGTCTCCTGGTTGTGTCTTTCCAATGTTGCAAGAGAAATAGGTTTCCCACAAAATGGAAACAGGGTCAAGTGTTTGGTTTTCTTGTTGTATTAGACATGTTTCAGGACAAAAGTATGCAGATACGAAGGAGGCAAATGTGACGATGCCGCGGGCTTCGGACCTCCGGGGCGTAAAAGTAGTGGAGTTATCTGTATTTCGGTACCCGCGTTGTCGGATCATTTCAAGGCAAAAGATTTGTCAGCATATGCAACGACGAATGATACGAGAGTGGAGCTGGTGGACTCTCGGCGCGAGATCAGATTGTGGAAGATGGTGATGACGGAAAGGATGATGATGGTCACGCATGTAATGCAAGTAAGCCATCGAGATTCGACATCGCGTGCATGGAAGGCATGTTATCTCGATTGGGTTGGGGGAAACGCAATCAGTCGTTGAGATTGTTTCGGACAAGCCGCGGAAGTTGTACGCATGCGGGTAACTAGTTGAGTGTATTGTACGTAAGCATGCCTGGAGCTCCGGTGGGGCCGCTTGCCATGGCAATCACTCGCCACTATACGCTGAACTTGTTTTACTTCTCCTTTGTTGTGGATGTAATCAAGCGTGGTTGCAGGAGAGGTTCAAGGTGATACGTCGTAAGTGTGCGGAGCTCGCTCAGTCATCAAAGGGCAGCAGATATGGAAGAGAGATTGTATTGGGCGTAAGTAATAGAGGTTATTGCTTGAGTCCAATCTCAGCAGCCTTTTGATTACAGAACTCGGCCATTTCGACATCTTTTGTGCTAAGCCCGTTGGGGGAGTGCGTGGTCCATTCAATGGTGACACGATTGTAGAGATTGGACCAGGAGGGATGGTGGTTCTTGGCCTTGCATTCATCTGCGATGAGGGACATGAAGCGCCAGGCTTTGGTAAAAGAAGAAAAGGTAAATTGACGCACGACGCCCTTCCGGGAGCCGGTGAGTTGCCAGTCAGGAAAGAGCTTCAAAGCTCGATGGGGCAGGTCAGCGGGCTGGTCGGCAGAGAAGATTATGTCATGTGGTGATGGTGGTGGTGGGCGAGCATGGGACGAGTAAGTTGCACGGGGCAATAACGCTGTACCTTGGGCCGGCAGTAGCAGCAAGGACGTTATTGTGCGACGACTGCGGATGTGGGACAAGAGTGGCGGATAGGGTAATGGTAGGCGTAGGCTGGAGCAGTACTTGGCCTTTGGATTAGAGAGAGTGAGTGGAGTGTGAGGGAATGCACGCCAAGGTGTGGTATTGGTGAGAAGTGACGGGACCGCCCGAACCGGGTGGGCAGATGAAGCCATTCCGGCAATAGGGCTCGGATGAGTATGGGCGAGTAATGAGAGACGAGAGGAGAGACGAGGCAGAGCGCGTTGGTTGCTGCATTCAGGCCAGACGGGAGCTTCGGATGTGGAAACTCTTGTGGCCCGGATGGAGTAATCAGACACTGAGATGCGCTAGGCCCAAAGCGGAACGTAGTTGCGCATAGGGTGCGGGTGCTGGGCGGCTACCGAATAGTCGGAGAATTGGTCAGCGATTGATTGAACAGCTTGAGCAACTGGATAACTCTGTGTGTATAGCCTCAGTGTCTGCATTCTTAGCCAGGCGCGTAATACACGTCCATGTGCACTAGAGCAAGTAGGTGAGCAGCAGGGCACTATACGCTCATCGGCCTGGTGTGCCCGTGACGTTTGTTGTTGTTGTGAGGGCCGCTCTTCTGCTCTCTGCTCTGCTCTGCTCTGCTTTGCCCTATGTCGCTGTGCTCTCCGGCTATCCGCCCGCCTACTTAAACGCGCAACGCCCGCCCACCTTAGTCAAAGCTGCGTAATCCACTTCCCGACCAACTGTATCATCACGTCCCCAGGTGAGCGACACCATCCCCAATCACAAACAATCATGCTGTCGCGACACTGCCTGCTTCGCGCCCAACTCGACACCGACATGCTGACTCGCCCATCCATAGTTGGTCTTGCTGCTCCTGCTGCCCTTCTCCCCCCATAGCCACAGCTGCTACAGCGTCGCGACGTCACCCGCATCCCGCTCCACCAATTCCTGCCACTGCCACTGCCACTGCTCGCCCACCACCGCCACCACCATCACCGCCACAGCCACACGACCAGCGCTGCTCTGCTCCCTCTCGCCCGTTGCGCTTCGAATGAGTCCCACTTTGCACCATCCCTCGATCCGCACCGACACGGCCTCCATCATGCAGACATCGGCCGCTCAGGTAAGCTTTGCTGACGGTTTTAGGCCTTTGCCCTGCTGACTCCCCACCCAGGACCAGTCCAAGCCTACCATCGAGATGAGTTAGTCACTCCCCGCATCGCATCCCGCCTCTCATACAGCTGACTAACGCTTATCACCATCAAGGCTTAAGAGAACACTTACTCGCTGCTGGCGCCGGCCAGCCCGCCGTCCAGCCTCTGCCCCAGCACCCGACACATTCCCAACACCCACACCCTCCCAGCCAGCCCCACGCCATTGACCCTGCCATTGGCGGCCCGACATCGTACGACATGAGCGCTGGCGGCCCCGACGACGGTAACACCAGCGAGGGTCGCTCAAAGGGACGGAGAGAACTGTCCACGTCCAAGCGCGCTGCCCAGAATCGCGCTGCTCAGGTACCGTTGCACTCCACAGCCCGCCATCGTGTCGCGCCATGCTAACTTGGACAGCGCGCATTCCGTCAGCGCAAAGAAGAGTACATCAAGCAGCTCAAAGACCAGGTCAAGGAGTTTGAGCAGCTATGCGAGCTCTACAAGACGCTCCAGACCGAGAACTACCAATTGCGCGACTACATCATCAACCTCCAATCCCGACTCCTTGAGACCCAGGGCGAGATCCCCCCTGCCCCGGCCGGTGTAGATCTCAACCGACCGCACGCCGAGCAAGCCAACATGCACCCCCAACCGCAACCACCCCAGACCCCACAACAGCCCGAGCAGCAACAGCAGCAGCAACAACCCGCGCAAAACAACAGTAACGGCGGTCTATCAGAGCGCCAGATTGGTGAGCTACAAATGGCTGCCCAAGCAGCAGCAGCCGCTCAACATAGCACGGCTGGCACCAAGCACGCAAACGTCGATAGTTCATATGACTTCACAGAGAAGCGCCAAAAGGTCGACGAATCTCCCCAAGGTCAGCACTATCCGCTACCCCCTCCCTCGCTCCTCTATAACCCTAGCTCAATTGCTTATTGTGAGAGAGTAGCCACTCCGATCCATGGCTTACCAGCGTAGTAGGCTCGGGCGCATCTGCCGATTACGATGCATTCGTCAATGAGATGCATCACGCCAAGCAGACGGCATAGTCACCTTCACATGCCTGTCGCCTGATTTGTTTTCTTCGACTTTTTTTTTATGATGTAATGCATAGGCCACGACGCTTGTCTACGCTCGGGCTAGCGGTGTAACATGACTGGCGTATGGAGTCTGGTGTCGTACCATACTTTTTTACCTTTTGCTTTCTCTTCTACCATTGCCGTCATACTAAAGCATTTCGTGTGGCCGTCGCAGTAGACTTTTCCGTATTCTTCATCTGCCTAGTGATGAGGCCGGGAACAACCAGAACTTCGTTTTTCTCCGGGCAGCCTTTGTGCCGTCTGTTTTCCAGAGTACACTTGGTCACATGTGTTTGTGAACCATGGACTTGATTCGACAAGGAAATATTACAGGGCATTGCAACGGCCAGGCTTATTATACTTGTTGATACTTTAAGGTATCCAATGTTTAAATATTAGCTGTTTAGTTGGTGATAGTTTGTATGCATATTTGAGTAGCTGTTTACTACATGGATGGACTGTGATTTCTCCTTTCTCCTTGTGCTTACATAATTATCTAACGTGCGGGATCAGTAAGCTGGGCAGATCAGTAAGCTGGGCACCCCACCAAGCTTGACGCGACGCTCTCCACAACCACCACCATGCCGCGACAACAACGTTCTATACAGACTTCTCGTGAAGGCAGAATAAGCCTT